TTGCAACTTGTCGACCGTAGTATACGTTCCACTAGTGGCTATATTGACTAGTTTTCGTCGGGGAGCAGGGACCGCGCCGAGGAACAGAGTGGATGAGGGCAAACCCCGAAAAAAATCTCTGAGCAGCTGTTGCAGAATTGTCGGGAACGAAATCCCCGTCAGCTACCGTAATACTGACCAGTCGCTATAATCAGTGTTGAATGCTTGAGTCCAAAAAGAGTTCCTTTTCTCAAGTTTTCATGCGATAGTGAAATGTTTTCATTAATATTTCAGAGCCATATATTCATCAGTTATTTGGTGATGTCTATGCGCCGTTCATCCTTCGAAAGGATGTTATGGTCGTTTCATGGCTGTTGTTCTTCGCCTATGCGGCACTCGCGATTTATGGATGTTCATCGATCGTCGTGGATATCAGTCCGAAAAAATACATCAGAGATAATTCACCAATTCAAACATTCGTCGAACTTGCTGGTTGGTTGCGCTCCTTAGTAATCTTGAGAATTGTTCATTCTCAAGTTTCAACTGAGAGAGATTACTGAGGAATAATTCTTCATCACAGTATGTTCGCCGAAGCACGTGATGGAATTGCTCACCATTTTCAGTTTATTTTCGCTTATTTACATAAATTTGTTTGGTTTTCATCGAGCGCGAGTGATAAAATGAGTCCAAGCATGTCATCTTCGCGTTCTTCGTTACATGCAGAAAGGTGTTGAAAAACTGATAGAGTTGTCATGAAAGAGCGGTTATTTGAGTGAGAATCCCAGTGAAGTGATCGTATTCTTAAATGATAACTGAGAGTGAGCATGCTTGCCTCTGCATAACGAAACGGTACTGCTCCAGTTGATTTCAGTGGAGTTGTTTCAGATAAGTATATTTGGGCTGATAATGTGATGCCAACATTCTACGTGATGAATCCACCTGACCTGAGAGATGCAAGTGCGCGAGCACGTCTCAATGAACTTATCTACAGACTTGAGCATACCGAATATAGCATCGGTAGAGTGTCGACGAATTTTTGGCTCTGGGAATATCAACGATTTCTGAACGATTTCCCGAATATCACCTATACAACTGGATTCTATGATCAAAAAAACTTATACGATTTTTTCTCGCAGTTCGACTACCAGCAGTACCGACGTGAGTTCCTTTCGAGAGAAAATCGCTTTATTACTTCTGAAGCTATGCATTATAAGTACAGACTTTCGATGGTCCTGTCGAGTTCCACTTGTGTAATAAAGTTGAGATAACGATAGAATTGTTTAGCACATGTGAAAATGAGCGCAAATTCGAGCAACGGTGAGCCGTGCATTCAAGCATTCACCTTTCAAACAAGTTTTTATGGTCTTGATTCTTGGGATAAACGTCAAGTTTGTTTTTGTTTACATTCAACTTATCGAGACGATTTAATTTTGTTTCGTTATGTTCTGTTTTCATTTAATCAAATGGCAAAGCATTCGTAGCCTAATAAAGTAAAGGTGAATTTACTTTTGACACATAATTCGATACTTTACAGCATTGAGTAGCGTGGTATATGTAGGTGAGTGAATAGGTTCGCAGAAAATTTTCTTTCAACTAACATCACATTATCAGACAGCAGTAACAATAAGAAAAATTACTCCGGCGGCTTTTTAGTATAATATCCATTTTGTTCCCACAACTCGCCGGACGGTGTTTCCGTCCGTTCGGGCCACCTCTGAAGGAACTTTGACCCTTCGGACGAAAGCACAGTGCTTTGGCCTATTTCGCTTCATCTGTGGATCCAAATTGCACGCTTTTCAAGTGTCCTTCACTTGTGGTAGCAAAAAAGAGTCAGGTAGGGTGAGGTCAAGGACATATGAGGACAACTGTCCTTAGGCAAAACGTCTTTAGGCAGATTGTCCGGTCACGGCTTCTTTCAAGAAGTGATGATGTCCGATCGGATTAGGGTTGGAAAATGCGACTGAAATTCGATCAGATTCAGATTTGATTTTCGCTTTGAAAATTTCTTCGAGTTTTCGGTATTCACCAACGTTCGGTGATCTTCAGAATTGTTTCACTTGATTCCAATGGAAAATTTTGAATTCTGGCTGAAATACCAAATTCCGGTTCCTTAAAAAGCGTTCAGTCGGTTTCCAATCGAACCCAAATTTCGTTCGGTTACCATCACAATTTCATGCCCTTCTGCAAGATCATAAGTATGTTGTGGTTGCCTTCAGAGAGAACTATTTCACTGGCGAAGAATACTAGCTGACTATAATGAATTCGACATGTTCCTTGCGGATATCTTCTCACCCTTCCTCATCGATCAACGCAAAAGCATCGCACCCTCCTCAATGCAGTCGATTGGTTCTGCGATCGCTGTGATGGCGATTATTTCAATCTTCTTTTTACCTGATAAGGTACGTTCAATTGTTTCGCAATCAAGGTGTTACTGACTTATTATCAGAAAAGATAAGACTTTATCAAAGATTTTGAACCGCGAAAATATATCACTGATAGTTACACCATGATACATCTTTAATCTCTTATCGGTCACCTGAAGAATTGATCAAGTGCTCATTTCGATGAAGTATAAATGATAATGCGATGTTTTCGAATGTTCAATACTAATATGTTAATATGTTCAATAAATATGTTCAATACTCTAAAATGGTGCAAAACCACGAGCGCTTTTGTTTTAGAATTGATTTTTTTGCACTGTTAGAGTGTTTGATTCGTCTTTTCATTGAAATTCGATGGATTTGCAGCAATCAGTATTCTTCATGACATGGAGTTTATTATCGATATCAATGGGAGTTTGCGGTGGATTATCGGTGTGGGGAAGTGATCTGGATTCAGTTTCGATGGGTTGCATTGTTATGGCTATTGGCCTCGCAGTTGATTTTTCAGTTCATATTTGCTATCGTTACCATCGATCCGAACAACGCACTGCTCATGAAAAGGTTTCTTCCATTTCGTTCTCATCTTCCCTCTTCCGATCCTGCATGCTCATGTACCACAGCGCGCAATCAACTAATCATTTCAATTCAGGTTCGCGATACACTATCCGTTGTTGGTTGGCCGATTGTACAGGCCGGTGGATCGACACTGTTTGGAATGTTGACGCTACCGTTTATTCCGGCTTACTTAGTTCGCGTATTTTTTCAAACGGTTGTTCTGGTCAATTTGATTGGCCTGAGTCATGCACTCATTTGGTTACCACAGTTGATTTCAGCGTTAGATCCGTGCGAAAGAGTGCCGCTCAGATGCAGGCATCCACGAACGAAATGATCAGTTTAATTGGTCTCAGTCACTTTAGTTCATTGTTTCGTTTTGTATATTGGTGTAAAGATGTGTAACATTCACACCCTTATGTGCTGCACTCAATCGAAACCTTCTGTTTTTGTGGTACAACACAACATGAAGAATCATAGTTTTGAAATGTTACTGAACAAGAATTTAACGAGGTAAGGTGGAACAATTTGTAGTCACTCCAACATGGGAATGGCCATCTAACTGTCCTAGTTCTGACAGTGTTCCATTCTCGTTTTAAGAAATGAGGTTAAAGCGTGCAGCATAATAAAGTCGTATATTTGTGAATATGGGCGATCGGATCGGTGCTTCAGTCCGAGGGTGAGTAAAATACAATATAGTGAAAGGCATATTTCCTGATGATGAAAGATTTGTGGAATTTCATTTGCAATATACACACACAACAGAAGACACAAACATAACGTATGCGAGTTTGTATTATGAGTGAACGGATTAATTTGAATAAGCGGTGGGGGATGCGTGGTTCATTCAGCTGGGTTCAGTCCAGTCGGCTTTTGGTTATCGTTGTTAGATCCGTCTTTTCCGGTGGAATCATTGAATTACGTCGGTTCAGTCATTGTCAGTAAGGCTGCTATTCGTGAACGTAACTCTCTCTTGATTCTTCTATTATCTGAAAATGTTTGCGTCTCGCATTTGCAACGATCACCGTTGGCGTAATTTCAAAGACGATCCATTATAAAGTGCTTACTTTGAAGTGGCACTGCCAGCATCGCAACACTATCGACACTAGGTGATTTATGCAGCTCCTCAAGTTCAGCTTGAATCTTTTTGTTGATAATGGCAGACTGTTCATCGTTTTCGACTGGTTGTGCTACTTTACGGTCAGCTAAGAGTCGTGAGCTGACTTGCTTAGTGCTTTGACTGTGAACAATTTTGCCATAAATACGTCGTATTTGCAAGATAAACAAACGGGCGAGTGCCACCGAATGGAACCGATATGTTCTCTGAAAATAGATCCACATCTGTCATGCAAGCAGGAACAGAACTAACTGTGCACATTTTCTGCTTGCTAAAACAGTGCGGTCAAAAGTGCCCTGATGCGCTGAAATAAGATGCAAATTACGATCTAGATCTGAGGGAAGCTAAACTCGTCGTATCTATTCTCATTGGATGGCGAGCCTACTGCATTGAGTGCGATTTTGAATTAATCACATAAACAGTAACTGATGCTCATAAAATACCCATTGTTCCGAATCATTTAGTGATTCGCACATGGCTGATTGTTTGCGATAAAGGTAGCTCTCGAGGTACTGCAAGTAGTCACGGAAACAGGCTTGCAGACCATCGGTGATAAACAAATAAATAAGCGATTATCAACAATGTACCTGTAGGAATCCGTAAACGAGACATAATAATGTTTCAGCAATAAAGCATAATGGCATAAAAATGAATACGTAGGATGCTGGCCTCATCGGTGTTAAGTCACCATAACCTATCAGTGAAGCAGTTGCAAACGTGTAGTGAAGAGAATCGATAAAATCCCATCCTTGCTCTCTTTCCAGATACTAAAAATATGACATCGTACTGTAGTTACCTATTCATCAGAGCAGTTGTTTCCAACCTTTTTTATGTCCCACACCCTTAAAAAATTTTACCATATCCTCGCAGCCCTCAGAGTTGTAGTTTATTCGAGAAGGAAGGTAAAGTGGTTCTCAATGTATCAATAATAAAATATTTTCTTCCACCTCTCAGAATATTATCTTATACTCCTGGTTGGGAACCACCGCGCTAAAGGATGACGAACTTGTATTGTTGCCTCTAGATTGAAGTCATGGAGATAGGCCATTGGTCTCATGTTGCTCCGGAGCAATTATTTGAATTCTTTTTCGCTATCATGCGTTACATTTAGTGGATCATTTCAGTTGAGTCAGTATATCAATGAAAACACAAAAACTAACTATCAAGCTGTATGAATATACATATCTATTTCGTGACCGAACATTTTGCCTAAGAACAGTTTGCCTAATATCATTTTGCCTAATTTCATGCATTTTGACATAAATACTTAATAATAAAAAAATCTTTTATTCATATGGGAAATGTTTTGTGTATGAATCCAAACATAGTTCTTTGAAGGAGACTGCTAAAGTAAACTGCTCATCTGCAGTGATAACGATAAACTAGACGCGCTCATTGCTCTTGGTAACTTTATTTGCAAAAAATTGACTTTGACTGAAGCCATCGAAATCACCAACGTTGATAGGTAGAGGTGTGCTGATAGTAGCCACGAGATGGACATTCCCAGCATGTTCTGAACGGGTGCGTCTAACAATCTCGCACGCCCATTAGGCAAAATTGCCATTAAGCAAACTCTATTAGACAAAGTGTGTCCATTAGGCAATGTGTCTTTAGGCAAACTGTCCTTAGGCAAAATGTCTTTAGGCAAATTGTCAGGGTACCATCTATTTCATATGAAAGCAATGAATTTGTCAGTTATTCTCTTCAACAACT